TCTCAGATAATTTTACTGCCTACAACATACTCCACTTGGTTCTCAAAAGTGGAGGAGTCTGGACCCCCATCTCTGGATCTGCCTATGCTGTACCATATAGCATGTGTAATGGCAAGCTATCAGTGATATGAATATTCTCACCTGAGGAGGCCTGGGTAGCCTACTTGGCTCGGTACTGCAATTTGCTGTGCAGAGTTGTTTCCCTTGGGCACACCAGACACCTGTGATTGTCGGTTTGAATCTTGGTTTGCCCAGAGTATGTTTCTTGGTTTGTTGGTACCAAAATTGTAAACGTCTAACACCTCCATCACATTGGACTTTCCTCCCACATCATGCTGACACGCCATGATAAATAACTAGGATACTGTTCGGAACGGTGTTCAACCCAACCAACTTACTCACTCACTGTAGGAAGCTGATATGGATCAGACTGCTTTGGCGAATGGACGACATGAATGTTCCATGTCAATCTCTCGTGTGATCAACATTCCCTTCTTGCAAATTATTGGTAACCATGGGGGCAAACAGTGGGCAAAACTTTATGCTTCATTATTTGATATGAATCAGAATTGTATAACAGAGATAAAATACTAGTACACTCTACCATGCAAGTCTGGGCTAGACAATCAATGTGAACGTTGATTTGACCTCACTGGGTACGATGACACCACCAGTCTGGTCACCTCGACTCACCTGTCTTTATAAAGTATCTATTATGAGCATATGATGTCAACTACTTTCCAGTGGTCAGACTCGGGGGACTGGTTTGGTTGATTGATTGCATTGTATCCAGACGACATGGAATCCGACAAACAAGTAACAGAGAAACATCCCATATCTACAGGCTGCTGTCGTATGACAGGATCAACAATAAGCAGCTCTCACTCACTCACTCACTCACTCACTCACTCACTCACCCACTCACCCACTCACTCACTCACTCACTCACTCACTCACTCACTCACTCACTCACTCACTCACCCACTCACTCACTCACTCACTCACTCTACATTGTATTGTATTGTATTCATTGATAGGAAATCATCGAAGCTGCCCAAAAGATTTTGTTTGTTTCCTGTTTATTGGTTATTATCATCATACAGGGCAATATTCCAGCTATCTGCCCATGGCTGGTAGATAATTAAATCTAGCCCAGAAAAAGCATTGAATGATGTTATGTTTCGCATATCCCGGTACAATGACATACAAACAGCTTAAAGAACACCGGATCCATTTAGTTGCCGTTTACGTCAAGTGTGCGTTGCTTGGCACCAATTCTGAAATGGAATGCTCAAGAGAACACTTCAAAGATGATGAGTCAACTGGATGTCAGTTGTCAGTTCACTTGAAGATAAAGACATTGTTTTTCTAGTAGTTAAACATGTTAAACAATCAAATCGCACAGAGAAAGACCACACTTGCCACGAACAAATGTCAGTATTTGCCATAACATGTCATTGCAATTAGCCCTGTCTCGATAGTATGGAAAGGTTGTGACAGAATATGATAAATAAATACATTTATATTCTATCATCAAATAGAATGATAAATGTTTAGTAAACCTGAATTGATAAAACTGAAAATGCTTTAACATTTCTTGAGGATACTGTCAGAAAAGACAATTTTGAGATTCATCTATATGATTTTTTTATGAATGACCTCAAGATATTATTAGTTGTGTCTTTAGTTGTCGTATCTGGCCGCCTCTGTAACTTGATAGCAGCATGTTTCAGCCTAATGATGAGCTGCTATCTATTCTATTGCTATGTGACGTCATTGGTGTCATGTTTCTTGTTTGTGACGTCATCCTATGTTACGTTCCATGATGTTGCTATTTGTAAATCAGTGACCTCTGTTGTCATGGTTGTGACCTTCTTTTTCTCTATGATTTTTATTTAATAAAGTCACAAACATGGTTTCCTTAAAAATGAATGTCTTTGCACATCACAATTAATGATATTAAAAACACAACAGTATCAAATAACAAATTTCTGTGTCAGAATTTTCATGTGAAATATGTGAGGTGGATGTTGGAAATCCAAAATGGCAGTTACTGACGGTATACAGTCTCATATTGGGTCAATAACAACAATCTTGGATTTTTACTGACAGTATACGGGCCCATATGGGGTTAGTAGTTCAGGGCCTACTTGCACAAAGCGATCTTAGTGCTAAGATGATCGTAACTCCCATACTTTAACATAGGCTTACAATAGTCTTAGCCCTAAGATCGCTTTGTGCAAGTGGGCCCTGCTCTCTGATTGGTCTATCATTCTTTGAGGCATAATAAAATACAAATATATGTCTAAATGATCTTTTCACATGATGCACCGGTATTTCAGCCACTTTTGCAGGCCCAATTGCGGATAATTGTGGGAATAGGAATAACACCTATAGCTGTCGCTAAGCCCTGGTGTAGTTAACCTTGTACTTTGTTTACACAAACAATACTATCTGGTACGTAGGATACTGAAGCTTCCTCTGAAGTGGAACACAGAAAACACTCAATATCTTTGATGCCTCACACAAATGAGCCAAATCTCTTTCATGTATCGGCGCCATGTGCAGACCTTTGCTGTCTGTGATTGGGCAATGTGGTGACGAGGAACTTTTCCCAAGCACCAGGTTATCAGCTATTATCAAAATGCCAGATACCTAATGTATACTTAAGAACACTTTAAAAGGCGTATTTAAAGACTTTTTTTGTTTAGAAGTGCCAGATTAGGAATAATGATGTTTTGACCTGAAATGTTATGGCACATTTAGTGTCTTTGGAAACCAAGCTGTCTTGTGTGGGGAGCTAATCAGGGATGTATTTAGAATTAATCGGCTTCAGTGTGTTGTAAGTTGTGTTCTTGCTTCTGTCAATCTTAAGTCCTTGAGAGACACTGTAGTTGTTGGCATGTTTTGATTTGGTCCAAAGCTGTTTTTGATGTCAGTGAAAGTTGTTTCGACTTCAGTGCTTTTGAAGTGTTAATATGGCATCCCTTTCTTATTAAGCTGGCAATTTGTAGAATGTTAATGTCAAATACAAAGACAGACAACAGGCTAGACTTTGGTATCCACAGTTAAAAAAGGATAAGGTTTTGTGCTTCAAAACTATTGGAAGAAAATTATCAGATCTCAAAACTCAGTTTCATGTAAGGATGCGTACTTGTTGAGCTGAAAAAGAGGTAAGTTTGAGATAATTCCAAGCGTTTAGCTGATGTCCCCTGGCTGTACTTTCACATGTTGTTACCTCACATTTTTTTAGTCTGCTGATCTGCAATATGCCCTGCAGTCAACACAAGATCACATCCCTCAATCTCATCCCTCCCCCACAATCCATACCCACCTTAACCCCTATCTACACCCTACCTCCCAACTACAACCCACCTACACGCAACCTATACACCACCTACACGCAACCTATACACCACCTACACGCAACCTATACACCACCTACACGCAACCTATACACCACCTATACACCACCTACACCCCACCTCCCACCTACACCCCACCTCCCACCTACACCCCACCTACACGCAACCTATACACCACCTACATGCAACCTACACCCCACCTACACGCAACCTACACCCCACCTCCCACCTACGCCCCACCTACACCCCACCTACACCCCACCTACACACAACCTACACCCCACCTACACCCCACCTACACCCCACCTCCCACCTACACGCCACCTACACGCCACCTACACACAACCTACACCCCACCTACACCCCACCTACACCCCACCTACACCCCACCTACACGCAACCTATACACCACCTACACACCACCTATACACCACCTACACACCACCTATACACCACCTCCCACCTACACCCCACCTCCCACCTACACCCCACCTACACGCAAACTATACACCACCTACACGCAACCTATACCCCACCTACACGCAACCTACACCCCACCTCCCACCTACACCCCACCTACACGCAAACTATACACCACCTACACGCAACCTATACCCCACCTACACGCAACCTACACCCCACCTCCCACCTACACCCCTCCTACACCCAACACCCCAATCCCACAACACAATCAACACCCTCCTTCACAACTCCATCTCACACCCCACATACACCCCATCTACACCCCCACCTACGCCCCACCTACACCCCACCTACATCCAAATCCCACAACACAATCAACATCCTCCTTCACAACCATATCTCACACCCCCACCTACACTCCCATTCAACAATCTCCACCAGCTCCCTGTCTGAACTCACATTTCTTACCCCACCTTCATCCCAATCTCACATCTCTCTCCCCCCCCCAAAAAACCCAAAACAACACCGCTTCTCATAGCCACCTACACTTCCATTTCAAAACCCAACATCTCACCCCACCTACTCCCCACCAACATCCCACCTACACCTTACCTATGTCCCACCTATGCCCCACCTACACCCCACCTACACACCACCTACACACCATCTACACACCATCTACACACCACCTACACCATACCTATGCCCCACCTACACCCCACCTACACCATACATATGCCCCACCTATGTCCCACCTATGCCCCACCTACACCCCACCTACACACCACCTACACACCACCTACACACCACCTACACACCACCTACACCATACCTATGCCCCACCTACACCCCACCTACACCATACCTATGTCCCACCTATGCCCCACCTACGCCCCACCTACACCCCACCTACACCCCACCTACACCATACCTATGCCCCACCTATGCCCCACCTACGCCCCACCTACACCATACCTATGTCCCACCTATGCCCCACCTACGCCTCACCTGCGCCCCACCTACACCCCACCTACACCCCACCTATGTCCCACCTATGCCCCACCTATGCCCCACCTACGCCCCACCTACACCCCACCTACACCCCACCTACACCATACCTATGCCCCACCTACACCCCACCTATTCCCCACCAACATCCCACCGTCACCTCACTCCGAGTCACACACCCAACCTCCAACTCCCACATTACCACACCCACATACGTGCTCCCTGCTGCTACCGCCTATATACCATGTGCAGGAAGAAAGGGATCTATCGCAACCAGATCTCATTCTTTCAACACCAACATGTCCCATGCCCCATTACCTGACCCCCCACACCCTTAACGCCCCACCCAGCATAATTGTTACCCATTGTCTTGCTTCTCCCTATAAACCTAATGCTATCTGCACAAACTGTTCAGTAGAGGAGAGATAGTTCCTAGCACCCTCCACGCGTCATTAACCCTGACATGGCTGCAGGCTGAATGTCAAACTACATCTCAAGTGAGAGCCATGTTTTGTGAGGCAATAGAGTTTACAGATGCATGTCATACAAAGTTACAGGAACTACGATGCAATACAATCTCCCACCAGTGTTGATCATTCCCCACAGATTTCATTTTCTGGCATATCCTCTGTGCAGTTCCTTGTCAGTGTCGGCTTTTGCTTGAAAAGACTGCAAGGTGGGTCTTATCAGTGTCTCCTGAACATGTTTATGTAATATTTGTGTAGTGGGTTAAGTATTATGGGCCGTTATTTCAGATCTTAAAGCCATAATTCTTTCCTGTGAGACAACCTTCCGTGATAAACTCCTCATATTTTGTTTTTAAAGTAGGGGTTACACTTCTGATAAAAACAACACTATCGTAAAAATCAATGCATTTAACCAGAGACCATATACCGAGGGACAGGCCTCGGGGCTAATTAGTAACTTATCACCCCCGCGCGAGACAAAGCGATGATTATCGCGTGGCTGTGCGAGATCTGTGGGATTTGAAGGTATATGGTCTCTGATTTAACATTGAAACAAACTGCTGCACATGATTTATTGATATTTTTGTGAAAAAGTAAGTAAATAGATGGAAAAAAACAAGAAAGACATTTCCCATTTCCCTAGAGTTGATTAAGAATTATTGTTTGAATATAATTGCCATGTGTGTGTTGTCCTTTTATTATAAAGTGTTGTATGCAAAACAAATTGTGTGATATATATTAAAATTTTCAATTGACTAATAAATAATTTAGTGCTTTGAATATTATTCAGCAGCCCCATGCAAACATCCAATGTCTCGCCCCCATGTACTCCCTGCCACAAACCCGCCTCTGCCCCCATTTCACGGGGTGTTACTTAAGAGATAAACGATGAGTATATGGGATATCAACATTATGTACAGCCGCTTAAGGATGTTGATAAAATGTACAAGCTTTGAAAATAGTAACCCAAATTTTTAATAATGACTCCCTGAATAGAATCCAAACTCGGAAATGTCGGACAAGTCTATTTTCAGAACAGATGAGTTAAGTTTGGTATTTCCCGCATATTCTCACAATCTTCATGTCGAGTATCTGTACCTTTTCTCCCAATATCGATTGTCATACTGCTCCCGCTTACAGATGCGATCCTTCGGCCATCATGTTTAATTGCATTGTTCAGTTACATCTCAGAAGACGCTCCCCTCTCAGAAACAGCGTCTTCCAATATACGACGTCATCAAGCTGCAAGCATATGTTTGAATTTCCAGAAATGATGTTATGATTGACAATATTTTATCATGAAATAAACTATGCTTCGTTCATTATTGTTCTTTGCGAATAATCGCGTCGCTATCTTATATATCATGATATAAGACAGCTATACGAGTGTCAAGTGAGTGTCTAGTGAGTCGTTCCCCATAGATGTAGCTGGGCAATGCAGATAAACGCAATGGCCGAACGATCGCATCCAAAAGCGGGAGAGATATGACAATCGGTATTAGGACAAAAGGTACAGGTAATTGACGTGAGGATAGTGAGAATATACGGGAAATACCCACCTGTGCATAAAATGGACTTGTCCGACATTGCCGAGGTCGGATTCCATTGAGGGAGTCACCATTATTCAAATACGGGTAAATATGTTTAAAGCTTGTACATTTTATCATCAACCTTAAAGAAGCTGTACATAATGTTGATATCTCAAGGATGAAACTGTAGTAAAATGATGAAACTGAAGGAGGTATCTCAACCTTTAGCATGGTAACCCAAGCTGCTGATTCCCAGGTGTGTGATGATATAGCCTTGACCACCAACAAGATATCTACAGTTAAAAGGAATCATTGGCTGTGAAGGAATTGTTATAAGGAGCTGACCGCCTCCGTGGTCTTGTGGTAGAGCCTCCGCCCGGAGAGCAGAAGGTCCAGGGTTCGATCCCGGGCCGCGTCATACAAAAAGACATTAAAAGATTGTACTTGTTGTTACCCTGTCTGGCGCTCGGCATTAAGGGGCTAAAACAAGGACTGGTCGGCTTGGAGTCAGTATACTGTGTGTGAGTGGGGTATTCATGTTAAACTGCGGCATGGTATCTCAGTGAGCTAGCACTATAAATCGGCATCAGTCCGGACTAGTACAAGCAGCCACACACACACATACACGTGCATGCACGTCACTATATAAGTGCAATAATCTTGGACGCGACGTTAAACCCAATTTCACCTCACCTCACCTTATAAGGAGCTAAACATGTACCTGTGGAGTGATGACCAGTACGGCCAGATTCAGATGGAGCCGAGGTGGAGAGTGTCTGGTTTGTCAAGTCTTCTGTTGGTCTTCAGCAACCCATACTGTAAATCAGGAAATTAATGCGTCTCCAAATTAATACGACTGCTGACCCCTAGCCAAAAATGTGACTCACTATCACTGCGACTCCCCCACTCCATCAGTAGTGGAATGATACATTTCCTTACCTTAATCCAATCAAACACTAATAGCACCGCTTATTAGCACTTCTGTAATAACAATAAACAGCTTATATGTTTACTCTGTTGACTGGCATTAAGGAAGTTCAAAGGCAATAAAATAATTGAACTAACAACAGTTCACTGATCATGCTGATTGGTATGAAGAGAAGGTGTCAACAAACTTGACACAAGTGGGTAGAACTCTTGACCCCATCAGTGATAACTCACCGGATGCCTATTGTGTAATTCTTATTCTTTGACTGACATTGTTATATACTTGTTACAACTGCTGGTCAATAAACCGTGTTTGTGTTTATGTTCAAGTTGGTATTTCCACTATCCAAAGTGTGCAGTGAGGCCGTCTTATTGTTGGATAATCATTTGGACCACTCGCATTTTTTCCATTTAATTCACACTCTTTAATTTCAAAATTTACAGTACTTGTCGTAAGAAGCGACTAATGGGATTGCATGGTTGATACCATGCCTGATACCATGCCTGCTGCCATCCTGTGCGCTGGGGAAGGCGAATAACGGGATCGGGTGGTCAGGCTAACTGACTTGTTTGATGCATGTCATCATTTCCCAATTGTGTACATCAATGCTCACTATGTTCATGATGTCAGTCACTGGATTGTCTGGTCCAGCCACGATTATTTACTGCCCACCATGCTGTGTGGCGTTATACTAGACCATTGAATGTTTTTTTCAGTCAGCAATTATTGTGAAGGAGTGGGCAGACTAACATATATACCTGAAATAAAGCTATATGTACATGATGTAAGGTTAAATAAGAATAATTCTATTAACGAACCCTGGTGTATTATGGAATCCTCAAATCTTTCAATTTCCAGTGCTGGAAAAAAATAGACTGCTAGAGCAGAGAAGACAATGGAATGGGGGTGATAGTTTTAGTATAATATGCTCTGGGGTCTGTAGGAGAGACTGAGATTTGCAGAGATATATCAAGGTCTCCCCAGAGGCTGATATTCAAACCAAAGTCTGAAGCAAATATCAGTCAAATTTCCAACTTGGAATTTAGATCCTTCCCAACTCATGTTACTGTAGTTGTAACTAATGTTGTGGCCTTGTACAGACTTGTACTTCACAGAGGACATGGCCAATAGACATAAGGAGAAGAGGTGTTGCTGCCGAGTCTCAGATGATTGCAGTGGATGCAATGCTGAGAATAGATCGGTGAAATACCTATGATTAAATTTTGGTTGTGTTCATTGTAATTCCTGCATTAGCTGAATTGGTCACATGTTATTCTTTCATTTCCCAATGAATGTTAAAAATTAAGCCTCGCCCACTGAAACGGACTCCTTTTATTTCTATTGAATGTCGGGGAATGCAAATATTACAGTCAAGGAAATTCCCTTTCTGCTCACTCATATGATCATGCAGCGGATGTTTTAGCGAAATTCATGCATATTCATTGTCCAGACTACCCCTTGAGGCTGAAGGCAGAGAAGGAATGAAACGGCAAACCTACAGTCCCGCTCGCCATTGTTTTTTTCGCTCACTGTGGTTCCACAAATTTCATGCCTTTAGGTTTCATTTCTCACCTGCATTTTACCAACTGTGTCTCTCTGTTCTCAGGGAAGTAATGTTTGAATCTGGTGGTTACTGACCAGGACAGCTGCCTTCTCCTGGACATATTTGTTCCAGTCAGTAACATTCTGACTGTTCTTCTCGCCTCTTTCCTTGATTGACAGGTTTTATGGACTTTGTTTTCATCCTGCACCCCATTGAATGGCTACTGACTATGTGGGCGTGTTAGGTTATGTGCAGAAATTAAACAATCATCTGATTCATGTCATGCCACTGTATGTATTCCTACACCTGGAATGTTTATTAATCTAGTCTGCTTTGATTTATATAACTGTTTTTGGTAAAACTTTTGTATATTACACACATTTTCTTTGTCAAATTTAAGTTTAACAATTGACTGTGTATTTGTTTCGGTTCATTGAGGTATGAATCCAAAAAAACAATGTGCAAACTTTTGTAAACATCAGTGTGCATATCATTTTTGTGTTTATATGCAGTCAACCCTTAATTGAATTTAAGAAAAAATGAACTTTAGAAAATCCCAATAATGAAGGAACTTATGATTTGTTTCTAACTTGCCTACCAAGGGCGCTTAGTTGGGAATCGAAGATATTAGGGCTGGGACGGGTCCAAATTTACTACCTGGGTACCCACCACCCGATTACCGACCCTGCCCGGGTACCCGCTGTCGTAATTAGAGATAGGTACAAACTGTCCGATTTGGTAAAGTTTGACTGTAGCCCTGGCAAAATGTATTTAGATTCACGTGTAAGACGATCCGCTCATGCATACACTGAAGTTTAATGCCTGAAGTTTTATCTTTATTCAAACATATAAAAGTCAGAAGTCAAGAATGGGTGCATTGTCAGAAAGAAATGGGGTATTAGTGACTTATATTGTAACCATAGAGTTTTAGATAATTTTTGTCATAAATAAATATATATATTGGACATAAGGAAATTGTCATCACAGATGTAAGTATGCCATGTTTCCGAACAGGTCGTTCCTGTGTGTAAGCAGTTCGCGCACACACTGCTTTACTTCGCGGAAATAGATCTAAAAAGCATGAAAAAAGCATGCATGTGTGCCACGTGTCGACAACCATGTCATTGTAATTCAGTTTGGCATTAGGATTAGGATAGGCAACATCGTTCGACAGAGTAGTCATTTAGTGATCGAGATAATAATAGAAAT